CCCCCCCCCCCCCCAGGTCAAAAAGACTCCTGCCCAGGTTAAGATGTTAAGCCCCTTCTCCTGAGCATGTGTAGTAGTAGAAGCATTATGTAAGAGGTATTGTAATTGTATGTTAATCACTAACCGATCAGTATCTGACAGGCATGTTTGGAAAAGTACTAATATCTGGTTTTTGTCTATAAAAGGAGGGTGAAAACCTGCTGTTGGTGTGCTTGATTTGTGGAGAAGTCCACTGAGCATCCAGGCCTGAATAAATACAATCTCTCTCCTGAGCGTGTTACAATTGGTTTATTGCACGCCAGGCATGAATCTGCTTTTTGGGTAATAACAGCTTGTGGCTAGGGAGCACTGTCTCTCATGGTGCCAGCTGCAATTTCTGCTGTCAGTGATAACAATATTTTCTATTAAGAAGTGCATTGGTGCTTGGCTAAGCAGTACACAAACTGGGGCCTACCCAGAGATGCCAACGGGGGAAAGTGGGTGCTCCCGTCAGTGCTCCACTGGTGAACGTCACCCTTCTGCCTGGAGAGGGGATCCTGCAGTGCAGGGGTCCCCAGGATCCCTCCTCAAGGTATCCAACAGGAGGAAACCACAGGGAAGGTGGAGGAGAACAGGCATGCACACGTCAGAGGTGGAAGGTGATGAATTTCTGGGCATGATTTGTGAAAGGGAGAATAAAGAAAGGAAATGCAACAAGGGCAGCTGCCGCGCCGCTTCTTGGTACAACTGGAGATTTGTCAAGCTAGTCACTGGAAGGGTTACTTAAAAGGAAACCTGTCAATTATCTATTCCCTTGGGTGTATAGATTTTTAGCTTGCAGACAACCTAAATCCTGGGTTATCCCCTCAGAACACTTGACATAGCGCAGGTAATGGGGCCACAGTTACCTCCTTTCCCACTTGGGCTGCACGGTGAGAGTCACCCAGTGCAACACTGGGGAATACACTTGGCTCAGAGCAGGCTTACTCAGGCTCAGAAGTAAGATTCTGTCAGAATTACAGACAAACCATTCCTGCTCACTGAGGGAAAACAAGTGGAGAATAAAGCATGCAGAATGATAATGAAATGCAAGGCCTCTGCCTGCCTGCATCATTAGCATGTTGGGAAGGGGATGAAAAGAGAATTGAAGTAAGAAAAAGCATAGATGCTGCTCATTAATTACGTGTATTTATGGTTGATCTTGACCTTATCTGATTAAGAGGCAGAGCCTTCCCCTCTCAGCCTCTTTCCCAAGCTGCAGAGACAACGCAGATGACTCACAAAAGCCCTTATAGGCTAGCTGGGGACCGGGTCCCCTAAAACTCTGGTTTACAGATAATTTATGCTGTAATTCTGGCAGTTTATGCAGTGGGGGTGTTCATGCTGTCATGTAGACTCTGGAGTCCACAGTTCAGCACTAACTTGCTGTCTGTCCTTGCTGCTCATCGGTGTGTGGACCCATGCCTTCAGACCAAGGCAAATCATGCTTGAGACATCGGGGCTTGCTGGAGGGGCCAAGGAAAGCCACTCGAGCACAGCTGGTGTTGAAATGCAGCGCACACACAACATCTGGATGTCAGTTGGGCCTTTACACCTGTAACGTGGGGCTGGGCACACACACAGGCAGAGCACACGTTTTATGAAAGCCTTTTTCTTTTGTTGGTCAGCTCTTCTGCTGCAGCATTTTGAGGGTACTCAGCAAAGGCAGAGAAGAAAAAGTAATTTTATAGATCCAAGTAACACATACACCATTTGGGAAAACTCCCAGTTATTAAGTAATCTCCCTCCTAATTTTATTAAATAAAAAGGAACAAATGAGTTATTTTAATGTCTGATGTTAGTGAAGTAATTGCCACAAGTCTTCTTCATAATTTATGAAATACAGGGGAGTAAGTATTTTTATCTCAAATGTAAAGAAACTGTGAGGATACTCTACTTATGTAGAGTCTTTAAGCAAAATACTTCAGTAGGAGTATTCCTTCTTGGCACCTCTGAAAACAGATGTGTTGTTTTCTTTGGTATTTTAACTTATAAAAACAGTTTCAATTTAACAATTCAACTGAAGGTTAGCTCTCATATTAATAAGGAGAACAAAGAGCAGGTGGTGAGACCAGAAGGCTGGTTTTAAATAAGCATTGGACAGATAAAAACATCAGCTTTTGGTTTTTGCACAAACAATTCAAACTGATGTAGTAATCCAGTGGATTGTGCTGAAAGGTCATAGTAGAACATACATTATTTTACTTCAAAGCGGTGAAAACATCCACCTTTAAAATAGTTACTGGCAGTGTTCAGTATGTAATTTTTAGCTTCTAAGTGCTGTTGGACAGCTCTGTCTCTGTCTCTTCCTCCCTCAGAACTGGGTAATTCTACTCAGCAACTCCCTGTAGAAACTGAGAAGAGGCATCTACCTCTGGGGATCTTTAGGCGTTTATTGGGGTTTGTTCCCACTCTGTGCTTTATGCCATTTTTACTACCACCACTTCCACTCAGGTACCAAAGATTTTAAATATGTCACAGAAGCATGCTGGACATAGAAATTCAGATCACTAAACTGCTCCTGTATAATTCCAAAAACGGTCAGAAAGAAACCACTTCAGCAATCTCCAGATTTAATGGTAGGTATCCAAAGGCTATGCATTCCAAACTAAAACCTCAGAAGATGTACCAAAACAATGAGAGAGCGGCTAAACAACGATCACTTTTTGCATGCTGTGTTTAAATAGTTCAGAATAAATCCTGGTAAATATTAAATATTTATTCTTTATGATTATAGTATCATCCTTTCCATGGACTGTACATCTTGGACAAATATGACTTTTTTGAATGTCAGACATTGGCAGGTTTGTTGTCTTCCAGGTCATCTTAATCTGACTGATAAACCAAAATTTTGGCTTTATCTTAAATCTGTCATTGTATTTGATGAAAACACATGTTTTTGTGTGTTTATTATGTCTATATACACTATTTTTATCCTCTCAAACCTGCAGAATGCTTGTTTCTGCTTGTATTTCCATAAAACCTATGATCCCAGACAGGATCACATACTTTTGTTCTAGATTTGATATACAGACAAAGTAAGAGAGTCTCTCTCCTGCAGAGTGCACCATCTACAACAGAGGACTCTCCAGACAAGAAGCTGGCAATGAACAGTGGCTCAGAGAGTTCAAGTGCCTCCTGAATCTTGTTCTTTGGCAGATTTAAGTTGCTTCAGACCTGGGCTCAAGTCGAAGAGGCTGCAGTTCTACACTGTAAAGCCTGTATATTTTGCCTGGAGTCCCAAAGGAAAACCTAACCACCTAGTTGTGGGCTCCACTGGACACAAGAGTCACACTCTGCTACCGACTCAGTTCACCGCGTGGGAATGCCTGAGAAGTTCCTGGTTCTGGAGAGAATGAGTCCAAGAAACCTCACTCAGCAGTTGCTGGTGGCAAGAGAAGTCATGGAGGAATACTATACTCTGTCATTTTCCTGGGCCTGGGATAGCAGACTTACAAAAGACTAAAAGATAAAAGACTTTCTGCTTTAAGTACGTTCAGTACAGAATGTACATAAAATATATGAAAACTCAGGAATAAACCACAGTACTCCCTACACCTTCTAATTATGCTGTAACCATGAGATAACTAACCCAAGCTCCACCTTGTCTTCTCTCTCTGTTATGCAAGAGTAGAAATCCATACTACTGGTAACAGACCTAGCTAGACATTCTGCCACTTCATAGTTTGTTTCCTTGTAAACATTTGTTCTATTCTAGACTGAAATTACATCAGTCTGAAAAGGATGGCAAATCAACTTCCATGGTACCTAGCTCATTCTCTAGAGCTAACTAACTGTCCCTCCATATAAATCTGCTGGCTCTGATGCCTTCCCTTTTCTTTATCTGTTTTTATGGCTTGTGCACCTATTAAGATGTCTTTCTAAAATATTTAGAGTCCTTTCTTGCTTAGAAAGAAGATACTTATTACACTTGCACATTAAAGCCAATATGAAGTAGACCAGGACTTTGACTTGCTACTCTCTTAGGCTCTACAGCAAACCTCTGTATTTTTTCTGTTTTTCTTCTGTTTAAACCAGGAATTTCTCTTCTTCTCCTTGCCTGTTGTGCGTGGGTGACATGTAGCTAGCTGGGAAGGAGGGATATTAGTTTTAGTCTTACCTCCTAATCCAAAGTTATTAAGTACTCTCCTCCAGTTAATTAAGGTTTTCTCTTCATGGAATCCACCCAGTAGGCCCATGATACCATATTTTAGCCCAGACTTCCTATATAGATAGACTCATCCTTGCAGTGAAGACAACCACAGTGTAATATTTCAAGCAAAAGATGTTGATTCATGAATGTACATGTGTAAAACTCAGGAGTCTCAGCTGCTCTGCTACCACAGACACCCTGCATTGCCACAGACACATTGGTTTAGTCCCTCTCTTCACTTTTTGGTAGGAATATGGCAAATCACACTCTCCTTCCTTTGGCTAGTTTCCTTTAGTATTGGATTGGAATCTTTCAGGAAGGAGCCTGTCAGGTTTAGATAAGAAACTCCAAAGATCAGTGATACCAAGAATACATGTTTGAGTTTAGAAAATCTGGCCAAATTCAGATATCTGTGTGTAGGCACCTACATAGAAATGGCCTGATTTTCAAAAGGTTTTGCAAGCACACAGCTTGATTGACTTGAATAGGAAGAGGGCTTTTAAGAGTTTCTGGAAAAACGTCAGGCATCTTTTGGACTTAAGTAATGACTTTGGATATGTGCCTTTTGGTCAACATGTCTTGAAGTAGAAATTATCTGGGAGGTTATGTGAGTGTTTCTCCTGAAAGCCTCACTAATCTTAAGTTAGGTTTCCTAAAGTGATTCTTTAGATTCCTCGCTGTATCTTTTAATTTTTGTCCTCAGCATCCATTTTCCCAATACAGACATAAGCAAAAATCTCTTTGATGGCCATTTATGCTTTCCAGATTATTTATTTCCTGCCTGCTATAGCATAGTCTAACACCCTTCTTCCTAAACTGTGCTGGGACCAAGTTCCGTTTTGGCAGTCTGAGTAATTTTTTCCCTCCCAGATCATACACCAGCTGCTTTGTCCTAATGTGTCTGTGCATGGACACTGAGGAAATGCAATGTCTTTCTCCTTCAGCTGTTTCACTTGGCAAACAAAATCTTTTGACCTGACCCTAAGCAAAATCTCTTTTTACGTTTTACTTAATCTTCTCTTCGGAAAAGTCCATTTCAGTTTAACTCAAGCCAATTTTTCTTCTCTTGACTTTGGATTTGGCCACTGCACAGAAAGAAGGAGCCATTATTTTGTGAACTCTGCCTGTTTATACACATAGGCTGGCCTCACCACTAACCACCTGGAGTCTTCAAGGCCCATGAGGCAAATGGCTGGAGAGAAAACTTAAGCGTGGCAAGCTAAATTCTGTGTTTCACAGTTTAGAGGAAGAGGAAGAAAATTAATTGTCTGAAGTTTAATGGCTGTATTGCTGAAGCCCTAATGAATTCAGGGGTGTGTGAAGCAAGTGTTCTTGCTGTGCTGTGCAGGATGCAGTGGCAGAAGCAAAATGATGTTGTGTTTTTTTTAATTGGAAAAGGTAAAGCTGTGAAGTTCAGGGAACTGCTTTTATAATGATGCCAGGCTTTAGTCTGTGTTGTGTTAGAGCTAGGTTATGTAAAAATAAATCTGAGTACAGAGACCTCCAGCCTTATACAGAAACAGATGGGGCATGCAGTTACTCAGTCCATCTGTAGGTCAGATCATGTGCAAGTACAAAAATATTGATAATTAGCTTTTACAGAGGACTCCAGTCCATTGATCCGGAAGCATTTTATAAGGAGGTCAGTCCCACAGGGCTAGTTCCATTTTAATAAGGAAAAATAAAGCCACAAAAATATGGAAAGGCCCTGAACCAACAGGGCAGAAGGAAGAAAGAAGTCTAGGATGACTGATTCCAGCGGCCAATTTTTTGGTCCATTTTCTCTCCTCTGTCCACTAACATTTGGGGCAGTGGAAAAAGAGGTGAGTACACAGGAAACTGCTGCATTACTAGGACAGCAGTCAGTCTGCATCTAAAGTTAGAAGAGAGGTCCAGAGTCAAAGATTGCTGTGTGACAGACTGCTGAATAAGGACTTATTCTCTTTGGAGCACAGATTTAAGTTTTGCGTGGTAAATTCCTGGATTTGAGTGTTTTGTTCTGCAGATGAGACATTCACTGAAAGAACTTTGTTTCTGTTTAAACCCCAATTTAATTATTAATGCAAGTAGTGTGTATATGTTAGGAAAGCTTACAGAGTTCTGCTTTGCAAATGAATTCAAAAAAATGGTCTGTTTCAGCTTTAACTATTGTTGTGAATTAAATCCTGTATTAATAGTTCTTGGCAAGGCTCTGGAATGACCAAGACACCATGAAATCATCGCAGTAGCTTTGTCAGAGAAGACCAGAAAGAAGAGAGTTTAGCCCAAGGGTTTCTACAGCACCTTCACCAGGTTAACCAAAGGATCCCCAAGAGTTTCTTTGCCACCATGGGTACAGCAGGCTACAGCTGGGTTGGCATCACATACACATGCCCCAGACCCTGTGTCCAGAAGAAGGAAAAGAGTCATTGTTACCCACTCTGCCTCACCAGAAACCCAGGCCTGGAGATCCTGCAGAGGGCATGACAAAACAATCGTTTGCCTCAGACATGTACAAGAACTCTTAAAAAAAGTGCATAATAAAAATTCAGGCTACTCTATGTACTTCTTAGTTACACCACTGGTCACCCTAGAAATACCCTCAGTCAGGATTTGAGGACAGAAACGGGAATGTGTTCAAACACACCATATCACTCACTGCTTTTCCGTACATCTACAGATACGTGGTCTGAATGCAAGAACAAGTGAGCATGGCTTAATTAGCGTTCAGTCAGCATGTCAGCTCCAAACTGCGAGCGCTCTACTCTTCAGTGGAAAAGCATTTCCAACAACAGAGGTTATTAGCGCTGCACAGTGCTTACACCAAGTGTTCTGTGGCTCTGGGCTAAAGGGCTTCCACTTTCTGGCAGAGGGTTGTGTCAGAACAAGCTTTGCTGCTGATAAATTCGTGCTTGTAAACACTGGAATATTCCTGCATTTCAGGAGGCTGGGCTTTTTAGCAGCCAAACCTGTTGTTATTTGGGCAATAGAGTTGTTCAAGAGTACAAAATCTAAAAAAATAGAGTAGCCACAGATATTACTGGGCTACTTTACCCAATGCTACACCCATGTACCTGATTCTGGCTGATTTCAGGAGGAATTGAAGCTCAAAATCCTGTCAAAGGAGCCAAGACTTAGGCTCCTAAATTAGTTAGGAACTTTGAAAATATTACCCTTTAGCCTTTAGACTGCTTAATATAATTTTCACAGAGCTGCTCATAGCACACAGTGGGATTAAAGGAGTAAAATGGTACACCACACTGGCAGTAAGATATAGTATCCCAGATCATGTTATTCATAAATAACTTAAGACAACTATAAAGTGAGTGATTAAATAGCACTGAAACTTAGATAGGCCAGATAATAGCCACAATTCCATTTCTTCATTAAACAAAACATGCCTGCACTTACAAGTAGAAAGGACAAAAAGATAACACAACTGAAAAGTTGTTTCCAAGGGTTCAAATCAATGGTGGTGTTTTGTTGCCTAATGGTGGTGGTTTTTGCAGTGAAAAATGCTTGTTGAGACATTTCTCTTCCATAGGTTTCTGGGGGCTTGTCAACAATGCAGGAATATCAGCATTTGGCGAGACTGGGTGGCTGTCTATGGAGAAATATGAAAAAAATGCAGATGTAAATCTCCTTGGGAGCATCAGGACAATACTGGCATTTCTTTCACTTCTAAGGAAATACAAGGGTAATGCTAATCCACCGTTATTTAGAGTTGTAGAATAATTAGCTTACTATAAACAGTGTAAAGTAGCATCTATAAAAGAAGCTTTAATTGTCTCTCATTGAACTGAAATGACAGCCACCTCCTGTGTGGCCTGAAAGAGCAACTTGATCCTGAAAAGTGGGTAAAGTTATAAGGGGAAAAATACTCTTAAAGAGTCTGTCTTTACAATACATAGAAAAGGTCTTTACAAATAATGAATTATCACATTGTTTGACTCAAAAAAAAGAGAGAAAAAATGCTTACAATAGATCATTAAGCCCAGGCAAAACTTTGTGAGCACTGACAATCAGAAAACACAAAGATCCAATAAACTCTTGCTTAGCCTTATTATTTAGGCTTTACTGTTTTACTGTTTGGCAATTAGGAGAGGAAGGATGACCCTACAGAGGTGAACTGGAGACATCCACCTTCCAGTTCCAGGCGTAGCAAGATCCTCTCTATGACCTTGGGCAGGAAACTTCCAAGTATGTGAAACAGTTTGCATGGACCTCTGTATGCGTGGGCTTTATCCTTTCTCCTGAGAAGAAATGGTTCAACTAGCCCTCTGCAGCATTGCAGTATGTCTCAGATGCTTTGCAGTTTGCTCCCTACCTGTCCCCCTTTATATCTCAGAAACAAAGATACCCTTTTCCTTTCTCTTCCTTTTGCTTAGCTTGTCTGTTGAAGTTGTAAGCTCTTTAAGGTGAGGATTTGTTCTGTGTGTATACAGTGTCAAGCACAGTAAGGGCTAGGTTTCATCTGGAAGCCCCAGATGTCACTGTTACACAAAATGTTGGTAAGATAAAAGCGTCTGCTTTTTGGATACCCTGCTTCCTTCTGCCTAGTTGCTTTTGGTTGATGATATTCTGATGCAAGAAAAAAGAAACCTTTAAATACTGCAAGCTGGATGTGTTTTTGTAAAAGAATGTGCTATTGCATATACCCAGTGGGTGTGTTATGTGGCCATTACAAAGGGAGACATTCCTTTTTTCCTGTGATGTTCTACTTACTGCTAAAACTCTAATGCTGATCCACCAGAAGCATTTGTTTGACTTCCTGAATTGCACAGGGTTATTTTGAAGTGAAACAGACTAATTGTGTGTATAATATTAAGCACATGGATAAACTTTTAGAAGGTTTGGGTCTGGATGCGTGCACATACATAGTACCTTCACTCAAAGGAATACTCTGCTGTCAGTGCTGTCTTTATTAAATGCCTGAATTCCTACTTTCAAGTCCCATCTATGTAGGAGAGGAAGCCACAAGACTTCTAAGAAGAATCCTAGGTTTCCTGTCTCCTTCCTTGCAGGAACAGCCAGGATAGCTAGAGCTCATGTTTTGGGGGGCAGCAAGTGACCTCTCCAATTGAAAAGCTTGAATTATGGATGTTAGAGCATTCTCCTGGGAAAGCTGGGCTTCAGTTATGTTAGACAAAGAGAGAAGTTAAATGATGTGTCCCAAATCCTGGGGGTGTGCCCCATATCACCCACTGGCTAAAGGAGGCAGAGCTCATCCTACCATCACTTACCCAGTAGTTGTGTTCTGAAGGAAGGGGCTTACTGCCATTTTAGGATGAACAGCTGTTCTAAGAAAAAACTTGAAGATTATTAATACTTAGAAAGGGAGGTATTTCCCTCCAGCCTAGAATTTAAGCATCCTACTCTGAGAGGAACAACATTTCCCCATAACTTTTCTAGGTGGCTAGGCCAGCCGATGTACCATCTTGATCAGCAAGCTGGTAGTTGTTCTCCTGTTACTGTATACAAGATTTATTCCAGACACTGTGTAGGAAGGCAGGGGGGCCTAATTCAGAATGACAGATTTCACTGTATTCCCATGATACCCTTTTGATATTCCACAAGCCTATACCACTTGGTCCAATCTGGGCCCCAGACATTACCATACATGCATCTGTGGCAGCAATAGGGGTACAACTATGTTCTCTGTATTGGTAGCAACGAGACCGTCTTCTCTTTTGCCTCTGGTATTTATATATCCACATTCACACATTTCTTACTATGTGATAGAAATTTACAAGGAAACAATGGAAATGAACCACAGCCCAGTGCCTCAAATCCGAAATCTCTATTTAAGGCATGCCTGCATTTGGCAAGAGTTACAAAGGGGAAAAAAGCAGCAGGGATCACGGAAATTACAAGCAAGGCGGTGTAAGGTTGCACACATTTTGTCAAGTCACCTTTCTCTGGTGAAGCCTGTCACAGAACAGTCTGATTTTGACTTTACCTGCACAGCTGTAAGCCAGGTCTTAGTGCAGAGACGTCATTAGTGCAGTAAAAATGGTATTAGTAGTCATACAGCCAGTGCAGGGAAAATTATCTGCTCTTGTCTTCTGCAGTCCTTCTGCTATTACTACTATTGTCTTCTATTACTGTTTTTCAGTCTAAAGTTTTTAGGGGACTACTTTGTTTCCATCTCTTTCATCCTGCCTCAGACTCAGAAGGAATAAGCAGCACATTGGGAACGTGTTACACTTTGTCTAGTCCAGCATCTGTTGCCAGATGAAAGGAAGATTTTTGTGTGAAGTTCTCTGCTTAACAAAGCCGAGTGCACTTCTGTGCTGGGACTGCACTTACACAGCCCAGCTTTGGCATACTGTGTATTAAAACAGCATCATGCTGAATACCACGTTATTAGTAGTTCAGAAGACTCAGGGTAATCAATTCTATGTTAAAGACTGAGATTGAAGTTACATTATTTGCACTCTTTTCTCTGCAGGATGTATTGTTTTCATGTCCAGCATTATTGCCTATTTTTCTCTGGGAAATGACATTTATTCTATGACAAAGGCAGCTATTGAAAAATTTTGTGATGCTCTAAGACTGGAAATGAAGAAGTTTGGTGTCTGGGTAAGTGATGTAACAAGTAGCTGTTGTGTGAAACTCCCTGCTATTTCTAACATGGATTTCTTTATGAGAAAGAGAGATGTTTCACTCCAGAAACTTCCTACAGAGCTGAAATGCATCTTTGAGTGGGGAAAGAAGCAAGCAACTTGCACAAAGAATACCAGACAACAGTGTCGGGGCGGAAATTTTGGCTAAGGGAACAAGAACAAGAGCATGCAAAATAGTATCTAATCTTGTGCAAAGTCAGCTCCACACATCCAGATGACAAAGGTGAAGATCAGAGCTGAATCCATGGGTGCGACTTCCCATTGGAAAGAGGTGGTTTCTTTGTGGCTGATCAGTCAGCTGGAAATCACCGAGAACAGCAGACCTGGGTGATATTTGCATTTCTGAGAAGCTGTGGGATAGCATGTCTTCTTTGTGCCAACACTGCAACTTCCACACTTTCTCCACATCCTCTGCAGTGGAGAAACTTTCTGAGATAGGGCTGCCTGACCAGTGCCACACTCTGTGAAGAGCTCGTAACGGTACCAAGTAACCGAAACTTTCTCTGGGGTGGCTGTGGGAGCAAAGAGCCCAGATGTTGAGTGCTGTACAGTGAAAAGGAAGGCTTGTCACTTACCTGAGGGGTTCTTTCTTCTCTCACAATATCAGCGCTTGAAAGATCCTTCCTTTTTATGGGAGCAGCTACACTGCAAGAGACATTATCATGCAGAGTAATCATGTTTTTATTCCCTTAACCTAAGAGGCTTTAAGAATGCTCTTAGTGCCCTGTCTAAGCAACACTGATAGTCAAACCTGAAGCTTACATTTTTAAGGAGCTTCGCTAGGCTTTTTCCTTGGAGTCACTCCACTGCTTAAACACTCAAACAATAAAAGTCTTCCTTAGAGGATTTACATTGGTGTACTCTTTACATATACAGATTTACAGCATTGTTCATAAGTTTTGTGTTGGAAGAAATTACAGCTGCATATCTATTAACTACCCCTCTCAGATAAATATAAAATGCTATAAAATGCAAGTGATTTTACACATCCTGATCCCACACAGCATGATGAGGATTTCAACCAATTAGCTGAGGATAATCTCAAATGCATGGAGTAGCTTAGTTTAACAGGTTAGCTACTTTGATTGGTTTGGGATTTTTAAAGTTCCCCTACCCCCAGAATAGCCCCAGCACACAACACAGTAAGCCAGGCTGACAAACATTTCTGGAATATCTACGAGAGTTATTTTTCTGTTTCTCACTGTATGCAAGACACTGGCTGGCATGTGCCTGAGAACCTACCCTGCAGAGAGCCTGAAGAATACACAGTCCCTCTTCTCTGTGCTTCCTTCCCCTGCTCTGTTATTCCCTTGGTCCTTTCAGGAGAAAGTCGCCCAGAGATGGCAAGGAACAGATGGAGCTATGGCTCTGTCCCACTGAACTCTGGCCAGGCAAGCTGGCTGCCTACAGGAAACAAAGTATGTGTCTTCCATTAGAAAGACTATGGAAAATCAAGGAAGGGAGGAAAACTAAATATATATCTCTCCTAGCCAAGTCCAAAAACCTGCAAAACATGAAGTTTTCAAAGCCCTTTTGTTTAAAAGAAATGTGGGAAGCTTACTATTGGCATTAGTTTGGCTAATAGTGAACACTTTTGAAAACAGTGCTGTTTTGCTGATCGAGGATGCCAATTAAACACAGACACCAAAGTGAAAAGAGTAGGCTGATCTCACTGTTATTAATTAAAGGATATAACCAGAATAGTACACTTAATTATTACTACATACATTATAGAAAATAAGAACAAGCAAGGCAATGCACCTAATCATTACTACATGATGGGGAGAACAAGTGATTAACAAAGATCCATCACAACTTCCATATGCTACCAACACCCAGACCTGCAGTCGCTGGGAGCCCCGGTTGCAGTGAGGATCTGGAGAGCCTTTCCCAACAAGTGAGAAGTCCTACGTGATGCGTAGGTGAGGCATCCAAAGTCACTGTGAGCGGGTCCAGCCTTATGTACCAAAAATCAGCAAGTCAAAATGTCTTGCACCTTTTTTTTGTGTGGAAACAGCAGGTTTCATCCTCCTGTTGCATTCCACCCAAAGCCTGGCCAGGACTTGTGGGGAAAATCAAGGTAGTTTCTAACAAGGCCAAACACTTGGGTTCTCGGCCATGAACAAGGCTAAACGGAACCAGGGGAATCTCTTTGTCTACTTGCTTCTGTTCCCACAAAGTTTCCAGCAAGACCAGACACCTGGTTTCTCAGCCTTGAACAAGGCCATACAAGGAAAGTTGGATTCATTCTCAGGACATTTCATCCTCACTACTGACTATGTTTTGTCTAAGCTACATCTTTCCGTAATGAGCATACATATTTCATTAATGATCAGGGACTAATAATAAACGCTAATGGTAATACAGATTTTACTAATTAGCAGATACTAATAATGGATAACGTTTGGTTGTGAGGTTCATCTGAGGTCAACTTTATTTCAGGGCCTAATATTCAGGCCCTAGCACTACAAGCACTCAAGGGGAGGGCTCCCGAAGATGCCCAGTGACAAACCTACCTGAGGCAGCATAAGATGCCTGCAGTGATGCATGCTGCCTCTCTGCTGGAGCTCACCCACATCCCTTCCAGCTCCCCACATAGAGCACCTGCATCTCAACCCCTCTGGTGTGCAGTGCGCCAGTGGCTGCCGGCCAAGTGCAGGCACGTGCCTGCACCGGCACACAGGTGGAAGCCACTGGTAGATGGGATGGGTGGCAGATTTGAGACATTAAAGCTTTATATTACCACAGATTTTTCAGAGAACGCCTGCCAGATCCCCAAGTCTCTTACAGAACTCAGCACTGTTTTGCCTCCCTTGTGTTCTAGTCTTTAGAATTCAGGTCAGTTAAATGCCACAGAGTTTTTAATGTTGCATATCTACAAATAGTTTTAACGAGGCTGCTGATAACTGAGGAGAAGCGTGCATACTGTGAGTACTCAGCCTGCTCTGAAATCCCCCAGAAGCCTCAGGACAACAACACACGCAAAGAAAACAGGCAGAGCAGCAAAGGATTTCTGTGCTTTCAGTTTAAATCTACATGCCCAGAAATCTATGGAAATTAGCTAATGACTCAGTGAGAGCTAGGCCAGGACCTTTGGTCCCCATCTGTACTTGGCTAACAATACTTGTCTTCCTTTTAATTACACCTACTTGGGGAAAACTGCATTTCTTTTCCAAGGACCTTATAATTTTCTTTGACATCCTCCTTTTCTCCCAAACTGGGGCAAAAAAATTACCAATTGTAAGATTTGCCACTGAGTGAAAAATCCAAAGTATTCCACTTTGGAGACATCAAAGTCATACTGAAGCACTTTGTCTCAGTACTGTCAAAACATTTATTTCATTAAGCATTCTATAAAAATCAAAGATGCACTACTGCATTCTGTGAAGATATGCTGAGTAGTCAAAATGAATATTATCATCAGAGCAAAATGAGGAAGTCAGAATAAAGCACCTCTGCAATCTTAAACATTTCATGGGAATGTATTTTATTTCAGTCAAGTTTTCAAGGTTAAAATTTCAACAAAGCAGCATTTTCTAGAAGAAATCTGTTTGCAGAAAGTTTTTGATCTGTTTTACTGACTACAGTATTTAATTGAATTCAGAATGACGGATTGCATCTTGATAAGTTTTACGTCTTGCTTTTAGGTCTGTATTATTCAGCCAGGAAATTATGCACGCTCTACAAAAATTCAGCCACCAGACAGTGCCGAAGAGATTTGGATTGAACTCAGAGACGAGGAAAAGGCAGATTACAATCGGGAGTATGTTCAAGAGCAGGCAAACTTTTTCAACAGCATACTCGGTGAAGGAAGCACTAATGGCAATGAGTTTGTAGATGCTATGGTAGATGCCTTAATGTACCCTGCACCCAAGGCACATTACATGGTAGCGAAGCTGGAGGAGAGAGCACTAGTGTTTGTGTGTGCTTTACTTCCAACTGTTGTGATGGATTCTCTTTTTTTCTTATGCTCTGAGCAGCAAAGTTGGTACTGTTTAGTGACTCAAGCCAGGTGGTTTTTTAAGCTGTGAAAGCCAGGGCTCAATCTAATGCCCCCAGAAATACCAAATTACTGTGTTAGAGATATGATGGAGACAAAACAGAGCCTATCCCACGGGCAAACTGCACACCTGAAATAATTACAGCAGAGATGAAAATACCTTATTTGTAGGAACCTGAGTAGTAATTTATTAGGGATGATGGAAAGAGGCTAATGGAAAAGTTAGGAATGAGCAATAGACCTTGAAATACTTTGAATGGAGTTAGGTGGCTATAGAAAGTTAGGAAGAGTTGAATAACAAGGTTTTAATATGGAAGCAGTGTCTTGTCTGACTACAAGTTCAGCACTTTTTCAGGTGTTGATAAATTGTAACAAAACCAGTATGTCCTGGACTTTGGAAAGTAGGTAGCAAATGAGTATTCAATCCTAAATAAACTCTATCTTTTATCTAATGTCTGGATTAATCGTTGTGTTAACGTATAGTCGAAGCACTAAACACCAAGGTGACAGATACCAGTGTGCAGTAGTGACCTGTAGCTTAGAACATATGCAGCCCGGAGCTCTGTTTTTGCTATTACGGGGAACAAGGTCAGATGAAAAAAGTATCTATTAACATCAACAGGAGAACTTTAGTAACATATAGTAACACCTTCTAGTGGAAGGTGTCCCTACTCTTGGCAGGGGGCTTGGAACTAGATGATCTTTAAGATCCCTTCCAACCCAAACCATACTGTGATTCTAGGAGATGAATTGAACACACTGTCTTCATTAGCAGTCTCCCACTAACCGTTGTGGAAAGGATTGCTGGTTTACACATACACAGTTTTAAATTTGGCTGGTTGTGGCATGGCACAAAATCCAAGAACTCTGGGATCAAAAGATCCCAGAATACCTGGGATCAACTGTGGTGACGCTGGTAGATACAGGACAGCAGCGTGGAGCATCAGCCTCCCCCATGCCAGGTCTCCCATATCAAACCGAAGACTGGTATAAATTGACCTAGTTAACTTCTTGGTCTGAACCAGAAATTGCATCGTATATCTGGGAAGTCTTTCCTAATGCATTTAATCAGAAAGGTTACTTTCTCTTTTGGTGTGTAATTGGGCAGCCTGAATCAGAAACATATGTGAGATGAGCAAACAGACTGACTATTCCAGGTCCTCTCCCAATACACTCAGCAAGGAAACAGCCATCTTAATGCACGTTTTTTAGATTGTGGAACATCTTCTCTTCCCAAAAGCTGGACCTGTCCCTGGAGCTGGCATTGGTAAGAGGACAAGCCAGGGCTCCCATCTGTTCCCCTGCCCATCAACAGCAAGATTATCGGATGATTATCATCCACTCTCCTGATTTAACCATAAATGAGGAAGGCCAGGCAAGGGAATAGGAACAAGCCTTATTCCAACTGAACAAATTGATTTCTTGTATAGGAATTTCACCTGCTTGACCTCAGGGATTTCAGCAGCCTTACATTGCTTTGGAAGAATTGCATTCATGTTCTTAGCCATTCTTTGTGCAGATTACACTTCCTTACAGTAAGTAGGGACTGAGCAGCTTTGAAACCCAGATGTTTCTCCATCAAGCCCAGGATACACACTTTTCTCTCTGCCTCAGAGACAATGCTGCTTTCCATTGCATGGTCTCCCTTCTGTTTGTATTTCTAAAAGCTACAGCAGTTAAGTTGTTGCCGAGAGCCAGGACCACCAGAAGAGCTGCCTCCCAGATACTGACAACATGAAATACTTTCAACTGAAAATTCCTCCTTTACTGGCTGTGTGTGTGGTGAAGCATGTGATCAATATTTCAGTTGCCTCATGTAACATCAGATGAGCAACACTCCAGAACATTTATTCCTTGTCCTTGAAAACTAAGAACTTGCAGTGTGTAGTATCTCATATGGGATGCAGCGACAGGCCGGATGAGAACAGATGGGACAAATGAAGGCAGTTTGTATTTTCAATTGCTGTCTAACATGTCAGCATGGAAGCTAACTGAAAAATAGCTACAAAATTATTATCTTTCATCTTCCTCCTCAGCTTTTTTATATTGTGATCTGCATATAAAGAATTAATCAAGAGAGAGTCAGAGCTTCAGTTATTAACAGGCCTGATGCACTCCCACTGAAAGTCATCTGGAATCCTCCCACTGAGTTATATGGGCTCCAAGGCACAGCATTTGACAAGTAAACCTTAAAAAAAATAATAGCAGGAATGATTTCAAAGTCCCTGGGTTTAATAGGAAAGAGGCCTTCATAAGAAATTATGATGAAGGAGGTGCAGTGCTCCCTCCTCCATAGGTTTTGTAAGGTACAGAAGTTGTGGGATTGGTAAGAGAAGCTTTTAGTGAACAAATATTGCTAACCAAGTCAGTGACGAACTCCAGGGACCCCCAGAGCTGTTGGCTCTTCAGCCGAACTCCTGCCCACCTATGTGTCACTGGACAGCTCCCCCAGCTCTAGGGATCCCAGCCCTCATCCTGGCCCACGTGGTACTGGGGGAGCAGATGCTGGGGCTGGCTGCCCCACCATCCCTTTTGTTACTTGGCCACATTGTTGTGTGAGAAGTGCCTCCCTCTTACCCAGCAACCCTGAAATCACCTTTACCTCCAGTCAAATTAAAGTGCAGAAACATAGAAGCAGCCTGTACTTACAACATTTAGAATAACCATCAGTTACAGTGTCTTAGGTGACAAATAAATGAAAGAGAAAAAAACCCCAAAACTCTATTGACACTACTCTTAAATCTAAACTACTCCTCTCCCAATGCCTGGTTAACCTGCTGCAGACACGTTCCTGTGATTGTTTGACAGCATTCACCTCAGATTGCATTCGACAGAGAATTTCTTGGCAGAAGTCATTAGCTTTTGTCACTACTCGTCAATTATAAGCCCTGCTGACAGTTTAGGAAAAATTTCATTTTCCCTTGAAAACAGCCACCACAAAAGAGACGCCTCCCAAGTCTATTCTCCAGGGACACAGTGTCAGGGATCTAATAAAGTACGTAAGCAGACATGATACCACCGTGGGTTATGGAGCACTCTACTAGCTGTATAAACACATGGATTTTTCAGAGGTTTGGCCAGGAGGTAAATTCCAGCCATTGGGCTTTCTTACTAAGCACTTATATCAGTTATTTCATGGATTTTCTCTTCTATGCAAGGGCTTATTCCTAAGAGTGCATGTTAATTGGCAGAAAGAATGAGCATTGGCTTTTTTGACGTAAGCAATTACAGAAAGAGTATAAAAAGAACAAAAAAGTTAAGCGAAATCAATTTAGTAAGTTGTGCATTGATCTGAGTGATATTAACAGCTTCATACAGTGTCATCAAAAAAGAAAGCAGAGCCCAGGAAATACACATGTAACACAAGGACTAGCAGGGTATCACCTACCAACACAGTTTTGAGGTGGTTGCGCTGCCGTGGGAAACAAAGATAATCTCCAGAAGTTCATTGTTCTTTCCAGAAGACTACTCCCCTAACTTGAGAGGGCACAGCTTGAGAAATGGACCCATGACAGCTCCCCAGCCTGGGTCGCAGGCTGTTTTGGCAGGTAAAAGAGCTGTACCTCTGCACTCACAGTCGGGGACGCTGTGAGCATCGCCACCAGTTACACACCCCCCCCACTTAACTCCCACTGCAGCTTTACGGATGGGCTGAGCAGAGGGTTTTAGACACTTAGCAGTATTACCACCCTGATCTCATGCTTCTGCAGTGTAACTCACAGCTAACTTCAACAATCCGGACAACCTGCAGAATAAGCCAAATGTGTAATTTTGTGTCATCCTCCCAAACTGGCAAATCTGAACGGGGAGATTTTGGGTGTAATGCACTGTGCAGCAGATTTTTAGCATCAGAATCTAGAGAGATAAGTAACAGTAGTAATTACTTGGGCAGTGAAAGGCTTAAGTGAAAAACCATGCAATCCCCAAGCACACCTTCCACCTGATGTCAGCACAAGAGTCCTTACAGTGCACAGCCTCCTTCCAGAGGTTGGCCGTGGGAATTTTGTAGCATCCTCGTGCTTTTACAATGACAGATAAAACCCAGCACAATACAAAGACGGCAAGTGATACTGAGTATGACAGCTATTGTTCCATACAGGGACTGTGCAGTGCTGTCAGTCTGGCACCTTCTGCTAACACCAAACAAAACTTCACAGCCTGTATATTTCAAGCACTTTGAAGCACTCTTTGGAGGTGAAATCTTTTCATGTGTAATTAGACCATTTTGGAACTATAAAGTGAGCATATCGGTAATGGGGGCTTTACCCATCATGAGGAAGCACATATATTGTAGGAGCAATTAAGGTTAATGTTTAAGAGTCTGTAAAACAAGGGGAAAACATATATACACCTCAGTAATAGATGTTCTTCAGAATAATTCTGGTTAGGAAATAATTTACTCATTACCTCATTATCAGATGCTGACACAGTAGGCAAAACCTATCTGCTATGGGCTCCACAAACCTCTGGATAGCATTGCCCTCAGATGAAGACTCAGGTGGTGCACAGACACCGAGGTCTGTACCAAACCATGCGAGAAACAGTGTCTCTGTGCTGTGACGTGTTTCCCAGGTTCAGCTCTGGAAGCTCTAATCTCCAGCTACAAGGCTCCACGGTATGTTCAAAGCTCTGGGCAGTTTACACCTTTCTTTCCTTAATGCAGTCAGTTACATTTTTAACACCACCATCCCACTTGTATTCCTTCATTCGCTTGGCACTGCTCCAGAACTGAGCTGTCAGCCAAAAAGAGCCCAACAGCTTGAG